CTTTCTTTTCCCATACGTCTAAAATGTCCGTACCATGTCAGTTGTTGTTTTTCGATGTCTTCTATAATTGATCTTTGTACATTCATTTGATTCCTTATGTCCTCATTTCCCATTTGTTCTAATCGACACTTTTCCCGCTGCTCTCCTCTAAAAATCCATTTCAACGGCCAATAGGTTATCTTTAAGTTTTTGTGATAACTGTCATAGTTCTAAGCTTTAGAGGATTAATGGTTTCAATATAGTGTTATATATTAATGTGATATTAAAAATCTGAGGTGCGCCAAGCAACTAATTAGCTAATTAATTAATAAAATCGGTCAGATAGCTCAGCGGGCTGTGCGGCTGCCTCTCATTCGCTTCACTGTCGAATGGTTTAGTGGATGTGGGATCGAGCCCAAGCTCGGTGTACAGAAAACAAAAAGTCTAACGCAGCAGTTTAAAATTCTAGATGAATCTGCGGCTTAGACTAGGATATGCTGGGATCTGATCGGCCTATGGTGGAGCAGTACGGCAAGAGATAAGGCTTGCGGCTTGGTGATACTCCTCCATAGATCCCTACCGGACAGGCGTAACGCCTAAAAAACCGGATATATATATATATATAATTAATAAAATAAACTTATTTAAATGATGCAATTATGATTATATCACACTATTTAATTTTCTTATCTTAGGGTTATACTCGTGCTTCAATATATATGCTTTGCATATGATAGGTAATGTCCAAAGGATACCGGAATAATAAAAAACATAGATTGAAATAAAACTCACACTTCACACTAAACCTTCAAAAATTAATGGTATATACAATATAAATTAACAATTTCAAATCAAAATTGTTGTTTTAAGTCTCCTGATCAAAATATTCCTATCTTTTCAAAAGCAATTGTTAAAAAACTGTGTTGTTAATTAAGAAAAACGGACGAATAGTAAAACAATCTCTCTGATGATGAGTTGTCCTTGTAGCTTGTAGCCTACACTATCTATTCTTATCAATACCCTAGGTAATCAGCAATCTTACAACAAATTGTTGCGAGCCTATCGTGTTTAATGATCTCCTTTAAGTGCACGTATTGTTCAAATGATGCTAGCCTCTTCTTCTATCGATAAACTGAAACTCTCGTTCTGGCCTGAACAATGACTTGGAATATAATTAGAAAAATATAACTTACAATATTTTACTGGATCAGCCTCTGTCAGATACACTTACACCACGAAAACTCAGAAACATTCACTTCTACTTCTTACTACATTTAGGGAACCACCAGAGAACAACGATTGTTCGCCTTGTACCCTTGGAAAAACAACTGATTATCTTTTCTCCCTTAAAAATATAGCTAAACTTTCATTCCTACATACCTATCCCTTTTCTTTCAATCTCCTCCAATCAATGTTTGTCACCCTTATCCCCATCTACCATTTAGATAACAAACAACAATTTTATCTACAATTTTAAATTTTCTAAAAACTATTATAATGCTTATCGGTTTTTACAAATTCTTAAAGAACAAACGGAGAAATATATTTTCTTAATATTTTTATTCTATCGTCTTATTCACTGTATATCGATGTACAAGTCTATTTGGAAAACCCGCTCGCATTGTTCAATTTAATTTCTTCGAAATATCTTTTATTTTGTACTTTGAAATATTATATTAAAAGCAAACCAATATTATTTTAAATTTTGCATATCATAACAATGAAGAATATATATGAAGAAATGCGATCGATGTATATATTTGGGGATAAAACTAACAAAGACAGGAAGCACTGATGAAGCCATAAGACAGAATAACCAAAGGGAAACGAGTTATAGGTGCATTGAATTCAGTACTATGGCAAAAAAATTTAAGACCGGAAACGAAAAAAAAATATATAACAGTAAAATTGTAAAATAGATTTTTCATCACCTTTAATTTTAAACTAAGAATTGTTAACTATCCAGATTAGGTAGTTGAGGGTGAAAAATTACTAGGGTGGTAATAAATTTACCTAGCAAAACCTAGCAAAACACTGTGGTATTTCAAAAATAATTTTTATTAATTCCTCTGGCTCGAATATTAAGCTAGCAGGAACGCTTCCAAATAAGATTGGTTTATTGGCGAAAAATGATCATGGTGATCACAGTATAGTCAAGTTTAGTTTAGTTTTAGATCAGAATTTAAAAAAATATTTTTTCACCTTAAATTTTTTCAAGACCACCTAAAAGATGGAGGGATAGTTGGCAATCTACCTCCCAAGAAATTAACCAGAGGCAGCTTCAGAATTAAACAGATCGAAAGATCTACAAAAAGTAGAAGAAGAAGAAGAAGAAATTTTAAACTATTAGGCTTTCCAACAAGGAGTAGTTAACGGGTGAAAAATGACTAAGGTGGTAATCAATTTATAAAAACCTAGCAGAGCACTCTGGTATATAAATATTTTTTTTAATTCTACTAGTTTTAACAGTAAGCCAACAAAATCGCTCCCCTTAAGGTGGTTTGGTAGTCAAAAATTATTAGGTTGGTAATACATTACTGAAAATGGGTAAAAAATATGCCATCGACAAGAAGTTTTTTTTTGAATTCTGTTGCTAGCTTGAACCTTAAGCCAGCAGAATAGCTCTCATTCAGGGTGGTATGATGGTGAAAAATTATTAGAATGGTAATAAATTAGTGAAAAATGGTTGAAAAAAAAACACATATTAGGTCCAAAGTGGATTCCGCTTATTTGTCCCCGCTAGCTTAAGGGTCCTAAATTATATCTCTAGTTCTTGTTGATGTATTTTTACGTTTTTTTTTTTTAATCTGTCTGTACTCTTTGCATACATTACAAATGTGTCTTTTCTTAATAAATTTAATATTAGATTAATCTTTTAAAATGTTTAAACAATTTTTAGATATTTTAGGATAATTTTGTAGGTAAACATAAAACTAAACAATTTTGCCGATTAGAACATTTTTACTTACGTTCCCTCTTATTTTTTCTGATTGTTTGTAATATTCCATTATTATTGAATTTCTTATATTAAGAATTTTATTGATACATTATTAATAAACGAGTTATTTGATTTTATTAATACCACTATTTCACCGTTAATTGCATTTTATTAGTACGTACATATATATATATATATATATTATATAAAATATATATATATATATATATATATATATTTATATATAATATAGATATATATATATATATATTATATATATATATTATATAACTAACTATAACTAACTATCATTTTGGACCATTTGCTGGATGTCATTATTCCACAATTACCTTTCTCTTTACCCTTCATTAAAAAAATTTGTAGACGATCTTATATGTTCTGTTCCTACTTCACAAATTCAAAATACTTTAAACATTTTCAATAACTTTAATAAAATTATCCAATTTACTTTAGAGATTGAAAATTATTGTTCAATCATTTCTGGATACCAAAATAATAAGAACAGAACAAAACAAAATATTGATAGATTGGTATCAAAAACCATCACACTCTGGAAGATATTTAAACTTTTTTTCAAATTATCCTACTCACCAAAAGTTTTAATACAGTCATTGCAATGAAGAATAGGGTAAGGCATATTAGTGACCATAAATTCATAAACAAAACTTAAATTTGCTGTTAAACATCTTTCAAAATAATGGATACCCAAAACATATTCTTAAAAAATTGATATTTAACCTCGACATTTTTGACGGTCCCCACTGATATCGGAGCAGTACAAACAACACAATATAAAAAACTACCATTAATAAAACAGTTTAAACACCTTCTGTGACTAGTTTATGTTAAACAATTTACCAACATAAAAATTGTCCAATAATAATTTATTAGAAAACCGACAACTGTTTTCTAAAGTAAAAAGGACAAGACACCAACTTTAAACAAAACTAATGTTATCTACAAACTGCCTTGTTTGGATTGCCAGAGCTGTTATGTTGGCCAAACTTCTCAATGGCTAAAACAAAGGGTCACCCAACACAAAAGTTCTTAGTATGTCTAAATAATTTTTCTGTTAACAATTATATTTTACATCACCCTTGTATATTTTTAATGTGTAATTTTATTGTGTTTTAATTGTTTCGTTGTTTTTGTTTGCTCTGTTTTTATATTTTTACATTTAATTACTAGTGACCTAGGTACTTTTAACAAAAACTGTCAGTACTGTTTTGAACAAATTATGTTCAACTTGTTTAAATACTTCCACTCTAAATCTGTAAGTGAGTCACTTTTTATTCAAACTGATTTTTTATATAGCTTTTATCAAAAGTTTTTTAGGAGGATTAGAGGATTAAAAGAAAAAAGAGTTTTATTTTTTAATAATAACAGGACCGCCTACCCGATATTCCAACACTATAAATTGTTTTTTTACGTTTTTTACGTTTTCGGTCGATAATCTTACCATTTGCTATAATATATATGTATCTATATATATATAATATATATATATATATATATATATATAATATATATATACCCGTGAAGAGACGGATACCATTTTATTTTTCTTTTATTCTATAAATATATGCCATATCCTTCAATAAGTATCAATCAGATAGAACAATTTTTATCTGGAGATGAAAACACTGGCCCTATCATAACAGAAGTTTATTATTTTAAAAACTAAATTTTTTCTTTCAAAGTCTGTCGATCGTAAAATATTGGCTGCGAATTTGGTGATCGGTAAAAAGTATAATAAGAAACTTGAGTTTTTCCCAAAAAATCAACTTACAAACTTAAATTACGCTGCTTTTGGTACGTACATCGATTTCACAACAAACTAAAATATCATTTTGTTTACATTCCAATCAGGATGAAAGCCATTAGCAGAAGTAAGAAGAAATTAAGTGGTGTGACTATAGATTAGAATGACAATTTATTAGATGCCTGTCGCATGATGACGGGTGAAATCGCTAGTTTTTAAATAAAACACTGACTATATTTCTAAAACTAATAAAATAATAACCTGTTTTAAAAGTACTTTAAAAGAAATATTTATATTTACCTGCATCTCTACATTGATCCATACATAATTTTGCAGATTCTAGATAAGTGTCTGGTAACTGACTAAGTTGTTGCATAGCTGAAGCATAGTTAAGTGTGTTGTTTTTGTGCATCTAAAATAAAAAAAATAAATGTCGTGATTTTGTGTATAAAAAAAAATAAATATAAATAAAATATGTAATATAATATAATATAGTATACACATATGTATATACTACATTTGTCGTAATAAATACAAAAATAATGATTTAGGTTAAAGCTGAAGCATAGATAGTGGAAAAATTCTTCTAATAAGTTAATTTTATCTTACTCATTTATTTATAATTCAGACATACATTATGCATTTTAAAGTAAACGACTTTAAAATGATACTGCCAATATTGTTGAGTTGCGCTCTTAGCACGACTTTACTTATAAGATAGTTCATTCCATTACATGAAATCAACTTTAACTTGAGAATATTCGTCAGAAAAAATCATAGCATGTAATTCGTAATTAACATGTAATTAATTGTTCTAACGAAAATTCGTTCTTGGAGGAGAAACATTTGTTAACATCTGTTTTATTAAAAAATGATTATCCTTTATCGTTTATAAATAAGGAATTTTCAACAGTCTATCGAATGGAACAGAACGAGATCCTATAGCATACACAAGGAATAATACGAGGAAAATAGCAATACCGTACATAAAAAGGATTATCAGAAAAACTTAAAAGGACAGGAAATAAATTCTAACATTTCAACAACATTCAAAACAAAAAACACGTTGAGATCTATTTTTGTCCCAAAACCAAACCTAACAATGAACAAGAAAGGACAAAGAATTGCATTATAAAATACCTTGTGAATGCGATCAGTTTTTATTTAGGTGAAATATCAAGACCATTAAATGTTAGAATAGTAAACCATCAATCTTCAAACGACTATACCATGTCGGGATAGTCTATATGAGGTTTTTTTTCCTCGTTTTTCCTTCATAATTTACTATGGAATCACTAACAGGAGAATCATGGCATGTTTTTGTCTTTGTAAAGATAAATTACATGCTATGATTTTTTCTGACGAATATTCTCAAGTTAAAGTTCATTTCATTTAATCGAATGAACTATCATATATGTAAAGTCGTCCCCTGGAGCGCAACTCAACAGTAATCTCAATATCATTTTTAAAGTCGTCTACTTTAAAATGCATAATGTAATGTCTGAATTGTCAATATAAATGAGTCAGATATAATTAAATCATTAGAAGGATTTTCTACTAAGTAACAAAAAAACAAATATTTGTTTAATTTACTGTTTGTATTTTGAGAACGATTTCCGTAGTGAAAATTGAAACGTCAATAACGAACTACTTTAACCTTTAATTGTGGCTTATTTCCCAGTTAAAGAGTAATTAATTTAAAATGCCACAAAAATAGCTTCATAACAATATTAATTTTTTTTAATTTCATACAACCTGTAGTCAAGAAATGCTTGTATCTTTCGTAAAAATCCTGTGTCATTTCATCATTCATATTTTGTGTTACCCCAATTCCTATATACATGGTAACGTTGACAAATACTGTAATAAATTGAGGATCAATTGTTTTAACATCAGTTTGTCTACATATTGAGGGTCCATGCAAGTAAGCAATAGATATTTATACAATGTAATAATTTCACTGTGCAAATTTGTTGTAACTTCTTTATCGCTTTGGAAAAATGTATTTAATTCCACAAATTTAAAATTTATTTAAAAAATAGGTAAACAAGTTCCCATTGCAATTCATCCCATAATTTTTATTTTATTTTGTTTGCGCCGAGCTAAGATATTAATGTTTAGCGACCGAAGAATGTTTGTTTTTTATTTCAACGTTTGTATAATATGTTACACGAGATACTCGAGTTAATATCTTACGGAGGATGATCATAGCATCAACTGAAATTATCGTATATTATGATATTATGGTATATGAACACGTACTATCTTATTTTGCATACAAAGTTAGAATTATATAAAACGGTAATTATTGTACACCGGGCAACGCAGACCATGTTATTTTAGACGGTGTTAAATTCGATCGGAAATATTCGAGCTTCAATCGTAAGGATAGAAAAAAATATGGTTTTGATCTACCTCGAATAAGCGAATGCTATACTTTGTTTTAAGTTCAGAAAATAACATTGCGCTTATGGAGATCATCATCATCATCATCATCAGTAGCTCGATAATCCTTTCTGGGTCCTGGCTAGTTCTAGGATTGTCCGCCATTCTGTTCTGTTCCTTGCTCTGTTTTTTCAGTTTGTAATCTTAAGTGTTTTCAGATCTTGTTCCATGTGGAGATCAGTGCTGCCAAAACTTTCAGGCACTTATTGCTATTAGATTGTCGATATATGATTTATTTTAATTAGAGCCGTATTCAGCACTGTGTAGTTGTATGAATTATAAATACTTGTTTCTTTAATTGACTGATATAGGTATGTAATTATTACAATAGTTCTAATAAAAATATTTAAATTTTACCATTGTTAACGCTTTAGATAATATGTAACTAAAAAAAACAAGTGCATCTTTAATTTTATTTTTATGTAACTAATAATAACATACCCATATTATAAAAATTTTTTCTTTTATACAGGGGGAATCATCAGCGACGGAACGGAAGATTACAGCGAAAGAGTAAAAATTTTAATGTGTACGTAATATTATATGAAATTTTTCGCACTATTACTTAATTTTTACTTTGGCCGGACCATTATTTACAGACTTTTGGATTTCGCATTTTTTATTCACTGCATATTAACATCATCCTCATCTTCTCTATCAATATTTGTCAACCGTCACATTTATTACCACAGAATCAATATCGCCTATAAACCCGTCAATGACCCAAAATGTTTGCTCTTCCTTCAAAGCAAGTTTGCAATAGTTTTTCCAGTTTTTCACTGGTATAACACCAAATGCATTTAATATTAATTCTTCAATAGCAGTGATAATAAAAACTCTGTGTTGTGTGAGGCAATACATCTTTTGATTTGACTCCATACCATTTCAATTGGATTTAACTCATAATGGTATTGAGGTAGTCTCATAATAGCAACATTTTTTTCTTTGCACATCTCGTCGATTTTATATTTTATGTATTTTTCTTTATATGTGTTTATGACTTCCATGAGCTCTGATTTTAAGTAATCTTCTTCAACAAAGATATCTTTCTCCATTAACCATGTATTAATTTGATCTTTATTAAAGGCTTGTGTTGGAATCACTTCTTCTGTCCTCGAATGGTACGAAGCGTTGTCTATCACCACAACAGTTTTCTCTTCAATATTAGGAAGCAGCTGTTTCTTAAACCATCGTTCAAATATAGAACCATATATCTCATCATGATAGTCCACTGAGTTTTTAACTAAAGCCCAAATAGCAGCACCTTCTACAAGGCCCAATTCGCTACTAGCATGCACTATAACAAATCGGGGGCCTCGTTGTATCGTCTGTTTTAGGCCTGTTGGCAACCCCTTAATAAACGTATTTCTGGTTGAAGTCACTGATAGGTCCTTCAATTTTTTGGAAAAATTATATCCAACATTCAGTGTATCCTTGAGAACGACTTTTTGTTTATCCATGTAAATACTATTCAACTTATTATTATACGTGACATGTTTGCTAAATCTTTGTCTTTTTTGACCAGTGCAACAATTTTATTCAATATAGGCGATATATTAAAAAAAAACTATGCACGATGGCACGTAGCCGCTTATAAACTACTAAGCATACATGTACTTATTGATTTTCACTCCCGTCATAGCACTTACTTTATTGGTTAAACTTCTAACACTTTCACCACTTCTTTAATTTAGATTATAATTAAATACATTTAAAACAATAATTTGTTTTACATGGATGTCCCAGATATTCCCTTTAATTTTTGGATTTCCATTTTTAGTCAACATTTAACTGTAAAGTCAAAATATCTATTAAAGAACTACAAAACCTTATTATCATTATGTACTCAGAGAACAACGTAAAATCGCTGACATACGCCCACCTTATTATTTAAGTTGCATTAGTAATTAGATATATGGATTCAAACGGAAAGCTGGTCAACTGCTCTACAGAAAGTGGTCCTTTTAATTGTTTATCTTTAATAGCCGGCAAAATGCATGATTTAGCTAAGAAATATTTTCTACTGATTTCCATGGTTCATGACATATGGTATTTTTATCAAAAAACAAACAAACTGTCGTTACTATAATTAAAATAATATAAAAATACAAATTATCTTTTGTAAATAGTGTTTATTTTAATTAAAATCATTTTTCGTCTCTCGTTTCGAATGGGCACTTTTGGTCAATTACGTTAAAAAACATTAGCTTTAATTCATGTCTGTAAAATCAAAAACAGAAATCTTGCTTGTGTTCGTCGTGGCATCGTCGCGCTTCAATCGTCCATAAGAAATACATGGCTCTATCTCCGCAATGGTATTTTCTTAACGTGGAACGCTCTGTAGTATCTTTCTCAGTGCATCTCGTTAATTTTGTAATCGTTTATCGTAAATACTAACGACTATTTTTTTCCGTATCTGTATATGGATATATGTCACATTTCGTATCGCCACCATATTATTGCTTTAATGAATTGGCGATCTTTCTTATTCAACTACATCTTGACTAGTGAGAGAAGAATTAATAAATTTATTAAGTTATAATGCATCGTATTTATTCAGTATTATTTACAACTGGATAACCTATACTTATACGACAATACTTATATAATTAAACAACGTGTTTACATCTTAAATTACGAATACCGATTTATGAATGAATTAAGATTAAGTGATCTGATGGCTTTTTGCTTAACTTTTTATAACATGAAGATTCGATTACATAACAACTCGTTACTGGGGGCCAAATATGTTAATAAGAATGCTGAATCTACAAGGTTGGCTTAAAGTGCGGCAAAAGTATTTTAAAACAAGACGCTTATAGTATCCAATACGTGTGCCCTAGTTATCTATTGAAAAATAATTATTGATTGCAATAGAATGTTTATGATACTTCTACATAATATGTTTAGATTACTGAATTTATCTCAGTATTAATAAAGTGCGACTTTTATACTACTTTAATACTAAACGATGTTTAAGAATAAGGATCTAAATGTTCCTATCCCAAAGGCAATGGAAGCAAATGAGATAGCAATGGACGCTTTTTTAGATATAGAAGAGGCCTTTAATAATGTTACTACCAGTTCTTTATTAGGAGCTATCAGTCAAGAGGCGCACCTGCGGTAACATGCAGATGGATAAGGGCATCCCTGGAGAATAGGAAAGAAATGTTCACTCTGAGTAAAGCAACCATCAAAGCAAAAGTAGGTGGAGGCTGTACACAAGGAAAAGTTCTGTCCCCTCTACTTTGGGCAACCTTGGTAGAAAATCTCCTCAGAAATCTGTGCACAAAAGGGTTTTTATTGTCTAGGACTGCTGGCGAGACAGCAATCGTTGTCAGGGGCAGGTTTTCTCAGGTGGTGTTTGAGAGAATGCAAGAAGCCCTAAATAAAGTTGACGACTGGGGTAAACAAGAGAGATTGATAGTAACTGCCCAGAAAACAAAAATCCTGAACTTCATCAAAAAAAAAAACAGCACTACAAGGCCTAAAATTACAGGTGCATGGAGGAACACAGATTTTTTTTGCCAAAAGAATAAAACACTTTGCGGTGTGTTTTGATTATAGGCTTACATGGAATACCTACTTCTGAAAACCACACAGAAAGCTACTATGTCCCTGGACAGATGTAGAAAAATGTGCAGTAAGAATTGGGGACTTAACTCCTAAATGACTCTATGGTTATACACAAGGGTTATTAGACCAATAATAATCTATGTCTTGGTGACGTTATGGACAAAGACGCAGCAAGTGGAAGCAGTAAAGCTGTTAGCGGTAATACACAACGACTAGCATGCCTGTGTATTACGACGGCTATAAAAACTACATCGTTGGAAGTCCTGCTGAATCTACCACCACTTCATGTTTTTATAAAGGGCGATACCAGATTGATGATTCACATATTAAGCTATAGTTAGCGACATAATAAGCCAGATGCACGGTGCTGACAACAGAAAGCTAAATGAGGAGCTAAAAGCCGATATTGTAATAGGGCATTCTATCGATGCAACAGGATACGAGACATAGCTTTAACAATAAGTTTATAATTAAGACACCAGACAAGCAAGATTGGAATAAAGGTGTACCCATACAAGCTGCTGCTACTTGGTACATGGATGTCTTAAAAACATCGATACTGTGAGAGCTGGCATAGTGAGGACAAATCAAGGGATACAATTTCTGGTAAGTCTATCTAAGGATGTGACAGTTTTCTAGATGAAAGTAGGGGCAATCCATCACTGCGTAGAAAAAATAGAAAGGCAGGAAAGAACGTCCCGTTTAGTTTATCTTCACAGATAGTCAGCCAGCGCTTAAGGCACTCAATTCTGTAGAGGTAAATTCTAAGCTAGTATAAGATTGTGTGTGTGCTTTAAATAAACAAGGAAATCGTAGCAAGGTTACGGTAGCCTGGGTACCGGGGCACCAGATTCATAAGAGCACTGAATAATCAGATGAAATGATGAAATAAGGCTCATCAATGCCATTCATGGGACCAGAACCCTTCTGCGGAATTGCAAAGACAGTAACAAGAACGGCTACAAGAAAGTGGGTAGCTCACAAATGTCTGGAATGGTGGAGGAATTTACCAGGACAAAGACAGGCCAAACAGTTCATTATAGAACATTTGCCAAAATTTACGGCACACCTAACAAGAAAAGACAGGAAAACAGTCAAAGCCATGGTAGGTCTTCTAACAGGACACTGTAAGCTGAATAGGCATTTAAGCTAATAAGATTATCAAACGATGACCTGTGCAGATTTTGTCAGATCGAATAAAAAACAGCAGAGCACATTCTATGTCACTGTAAAAGTCTGGCAAATGTGCGGTTCTTTTTATTAGAAGAAGCAAATCCACCGGCATAACTACATGGAAGGTACAGTCTCGAAGCTATTAGACTTAGACTTGGAACTGAGGTGTCAGACTATAGAGAAATATTACCTAGAAATAAAGGACCACAATAGATTTGAAAAGATCGCAGTAGAATAAGCCAAAAGGCCACCTCTCTAAATCTATATATCTATCTATGTTCAAGAATTTAATAGGGCACGAACTCTTTGTTAGTTTTAATTAGCTCTATCACCTTTTTTGTGTTTATAAAAATATGTGTAATTCTAACTACAAAACTTAACATATTCCAAAAAATATTTAAAATTTGTATTAATTTAAAAGAATAATTTGTTTAGGTCTATGTTAAAGATAATAAAGTTTTTTAAAATACTTACCAATTTATACATATTGAAAGCACACTGCATGTAGCACTAAAAAGCAAATTAAAAATCAGACAAAATTAAATTTAGTGATATATGGTTGAATGCTCGAATACATAAACTTTAATCAAATAAAAGAGAGCTATCGAGCACAGTTTTTATTAAATATTGCCAAAGTACTTTCACTCTCAGAGCATCATAAGGGGCATTTCGTCAAAATTATAAGCTATCCAACAATTTTATAAGTGTCATAAACATTAAATAATACTTTTACAAAAAGAACATTTACTTGACAAAGAAAGAACAGTTGAATTTGTGTTTTTTAATTTGAATAAGCTATAATATTTATTATAATGGTTTATGAAAAGTTGCAAAACTCCAAACTTTAAAGATGTCTACGATAGAATATAGAGGTGTGAAATTTACCTTCCTCTACCTGTATATCCTTCTCCTATCGGAGATTAACTATCATCACAGCTATCCGTACCTTATTGGCGGCTGCCCTAAAAATATCTACTGAGCTGCAACTATACCACTCTCATAGGTTTCTTAGCCAGGAAATTCTTTGTCTTCCTAAGGATCTTTTACCCTTGATTTTACCTTGAATTATGAGCCTTAATACCATATATTTCGCACCTCCGTTAATGTGGCCTAAATATTCCAGCTTTCTTGTTTTGATATGCTTTATGACCTCGCATCTTTTGTAGCCTTCTTAACACCTGCATTTTAACTAGTTGGATCCAAGGTATTTTCAAAATCCTTTTATGGCACCACATCTCAAGTGATTCCAACTTGTTTTAAATATTTCCTTTTAGTGTCCTGCTTTCCATTCCATACAACAAAGTTGAGAACACGTAGTATCTTAAGGCTCTTATCCTCAGTTCAAGGAAAAAGTATCGATTAACAAACATTGTTTTCATTTTTATAAATGCTTGTCTTGAAATTTCAATGCGTGTCCTTATTTCTCTACCTTGGTCATTGTTTTCTTTCACCAAGGTTCCCAGATATTAGTAGTTAATTCACTCTATCTACTTGTTTCCTCTCGATATCTAGCCTTCCTACTGTATGTTGCTTATAACCGTGCATTTGGTTCTCTTAACGTTCATTTGTAGTCCATATTTTATACTGACTTGATGTAATCTATTTACGAAGCGTTGCAGTGCTCTAGACTGTCTGCAAAAACAGCGAACAGTCTCGTCAGCAAATCTTCTATTGTTCAAGATTTTTCCGTTAATTGATTATATTCTGTTGTTTCCTCTGATAATTGCTTTCTTAAAAATAGCTTTGCTTTACAAATTAAGTAACAACGGGGACAGCACGCAAACCTGTCTAACACCTCTTTTGATTTCTGTACTTTCTGTATCGATATTTTTGATTTTAAACCTTTGCTTTTTAGCAATTACAGATTGTGTAATTGATTATTCTAGTACACATTGACAATAACCCCTATATCTCGACTAACTACCTTACTTTCTTTAGGAGTTTTACGAGTTTCAGATATCATACTCTATTAAAAGTCTTTTGATAATCTATAAAGCAGATAATCTATAATGCTATAATGGAAGGGAAAGTGGAAGGAAAAAGAGGTCCATGAAGAAGAGAATGCTCCTGGTTGAGGAATGTAAGAGACTGGACAGGTATGGACACACGTTCGATACTAAGAACAGCTCAAGATAGAGGGCAATTTGCTGTAGGTATAGCCCACCTTCAGTAATGGAGAAGGTACCTTAAGAAAAAAAGCAGACAAAAGAATTAAAAGCGAACAGAGCCTCTCTCGTTCCTAGTCCTCCTCTATCGACTATATCTTCTTATATATTTTTGTTTGGTCTTCCATGTATTATTTTGAGAAATATCTTTGATGTGTTTATTAAGGAAATTGTTCTGTACTGGGAGCATTCTGTCACCAATCTGCGGGTATTACTCCTGTTGTATATACTTTGTTAAACAGATCTAAAAGTATATGCAGTGTTTCTGCGTCAGTGCATTTAATTATCTCAGTGGGTATCTAATCTGGGCCTACTGATTTTGCGGTCTTTGCATTTCTAATTACCTGTTCTAATTCACACATTCTCAGAAACATCCTGTTTGTTCCCGTGGTTCTTCTTCATAAAGTTTACTATCATCATAGTTGAGTATCCCATAGTGTGCTTGTTTTTCGGTATTTGTTAGTTCTTTTATTTTTGATACATATTAAAGCTGTCGAATTTTCTGTCATACTCTTCTATTTATATGCATTGATCTGTTAACCACTTCTCCTTGGCCTTTTTTATCCCGACTTTACTTCTACTTTGTAGTTCGTTATATTTTGCCTCATTGTTCCCTTTGTCTTTTCTTTTTCTTCTTTTTCTTAGGGTGCCTGTCCGTTCGAATGTTGGCAGATCATTTGGCTATGATGATTTTGTTGGTTGCTATACGAAATAGACTGTGTTGAGGTCTTTCTATACCATACTCTTAGGTTAGCAAGCCAGGATATTTTTCTTCGTCTTGGGCTCTTTTTCCTTCACTTCGTACCCTGCAAAATGCATTGGAGTAGCTCGTATCTGCCTTGATTTCTCGTTATATGGTCTCAAGTACTCCAGCTTTACGGCTCTTCACGATGTTTGACCAAATCCGCGGTTGTTGTTTATTCCTCCCGCAATATTTCTTCGTTGCTGACTTTGCCTGTCCATGGTATCTTCAGGATTCTTCTGTACAGCCATAGCTCAAAAGCCTGAAGTTTTGATAGAGTTTCCGCTTTTATTGTCCACGTTTCGACTCCATTAAGAAGCACTACACGTAACATTTAAGGAGCCTTATTTTTGTTTTCAGGGTAAGGTTATGGCTCCTGAACACTAAGTTCATAGTCAAGAATGCACTTTTGGCCTTTACAATGCGATATTTAATCTCTTGGGTATTGTCTCACGACTCATTGAATATAGTTCCCAAGTAATTGTATTGTGAGATACGTTTAATCCTCAGCTTTTCTCCTCTCTTTCATTAATGGTAGAATTTCTTTAAATCACCTGCTTCTGTTTTTATTTGTCTTTTCAGGCTTTACATTTTCTTTTGCAGCCTTTAGTAATGTCTTCTGAATATTGCTCCACTTTTTATAAACATCTTTTGACGTTACGATTTCTTCTCATAATTTTGTTGGATTTGAGTTGAGTTGTTGGATCAATATTTTAATGTATTTCTTTTTTAACTTAATTTTGTATAAGCAAGCATTGGTTTGCTTTTAGGTATTAGGTATTTTTTAAGTATAGACATATTATGGTCTGAGAAATTTATACACATTATTTTAAATTTAAATTATAGTTTTAGTATTATTTATTTCCACTATCGACTCTGAATCTGGCATAAATGTATGTAAGAAATAACATTAAATTAATTATAACTGCCTTTACAAAAATCTATTTAAAAGTATAAAATATGTAATTCTTATATTTACCATGGCAGAATGATCTATTTCCCAATCTCCATGGTGCATTTTCTCGATGTCCTCTGAAATAAAAAAACAATCATTTAGAATAACACGTTATTAAAAGAAAGGCAGCTAAGATTTGATTTAACGGATAGTGCCTCTGTATATTCGCTTATAGATATTAAATCCTAACAGGACTCATCAGAGCAATAGAAGCTCTGAACGTGAAAACAATATTTCCTGTCGAAAAGGAAGCAACAATAATATGGCTTTAGTATGGACGCTATAGCGACATAGCTCATAATAAATCACGAAAGTCCGAAAACCCAAGATTTCTATTATCTATCTATACAGCCCTTAACATCCATCCTTGGATATATGCCTCCTCCTCCTTCTTCCATGCCTTTCTATCTTGGGCAATTTGCATCCATTTTGACCCGGCGTGTTTCTTTAGGTCATCTGACCATCGCATTTGTGGCCTTCCCTTTTACGTTTGTGATTCCATGGGCTCCAGTGTATAATTGTTTTAATCCATCTTTCATTTTTCTCCTGCCTTAGGGTGTGTCCGGCAAACTTCCATTTAAGCTTTGCTACTTGGGTTGAGACATCTTTCACTTTTGTTTTATTACGGATCCATTCGTTTCTTTTTTTTTTCTGATAGTTTAATGTTCAGCATTTGTCTTTCCATGGATATTTCTGTCTTTGCTACTTGTTCAATATTTTCCTTTGTAAACGTCCATGTCTGAGAGCCATATGTGAGGACAGGGAGTATGCAATTGATTGAAGACTCTCGTTTTTTATAGTATTGGGGGTATTTTTGAATTGTTTAGAATATAAGACAGTTTCCGAATGATGCCCAGGCCAATCTTATTCTTCTCTTTATTTCTTCGGTTGATTTTCTTTATTTAATTTAGTGATTTGGCCTACATATATATTATTCTCTTATACTTGTTCTATTTTTGTTTGTGCCACTGTAATTATAAGTTCTTCTGGTTGAGTAGTCATGGTTTTTGTTTTTACTATAATTCATCTTGAGTCCAATTTTTGTCGATTCTCTATCTAGTTCTTCCATCATTTTTTGTAATTCTTCACTTTTTTCTGTTATTAATACAATATCATTAGCATATCGTAAATGATGTCAGATTTTGCCCGTTTATATAATTCCCAAGTCCATCCCAGTGTAAGTCGTTTAAAATACATCTTCTAGCGCTTGGTTTAAATAACTTAGGCGAGATGGTATCTCCACTTGTCTTACTCCTCGGTTTTATTTTATTAGGCTCCGTTTTGTTTTCATTAGCTTAATGGTTGTTGTTGCCTTGTTGTATATATTTGTAATTAAGTCGGTATATCGGTAGTCTATTTCTGCTGTTTTGTAGGGAATTCTGTACTGCCCAGTGTTCCACACTATCAAATGCCTTCTCAAATCAATAAATGCCATGTATAGCGGGATATGATATTCGTTATGTTTTTCGATTAAAATCTTCATCGTTAAAAGGTGGTCACTTGTACTGAAGCTCTTTCTAAATTCGGCTTGTTCTCTTGCCTGGTATCCATTTTAATTCAGTTGTTAATCTATTTATTTATATTTTGGTTAATAGTTTGTACATCACATTTAATAAAGTTATGGGTCTGTAATTCTTTAGATCCTATTTATCTCCTTTCTTAAACAGTAACAGTGTTATTGCTTCGTTTCAACTGTTGGTTATTTGTTTTGTCATTAAAATTTTATTCATAAGTATGTAACAAAAACTTCTCTAGTTGTTTTCCCACCATGTTTTAGCATTTCTACCAGTCCACCCGTTCTTTTCCTGGCGATTTATTGTTCTTCATCTCTTTGAGTGCTCTTCTTATCTCGTTCTTACTGATCTCTGGTTGTAAGTCGGAATTAACATTTTTTATTTTTATTTGTAGTTGCTAAGGATTTCTTGGGTTGGTTTCTGTTTTGTATTGTAGAGGTTTTTTATAATATTCTTGTGTTATCTGTATTATTTCTTCTACGTTATTGGTCTCTGTACCTTCTTTTTTCTTTATACTATTAATTTGTTATGGTTTCCAAGCTGTGGTTTTCAGCACTTCATGTTTTTATTTGTTCAATTGCTTTTTCTATTTTTTCTTCCTGTACTCTCCTTTTATAATCCTTGATATTCTGATAGCTTTGTTTACCTCTTTCTTATCTACTGTGTTTCTCTTATCTTGTTCCAGTAATGTTTTTCTTTTACTCATGAGATTTTTTTGTTTCCTGGGATACATAGTTTTTCTTTTTTATTCTTGTTTGTGCTACCTTATTTCCCGCCTTTGCTAATGTATCGGTTAATTAGCTTATTTATTTCATTGATATTTTTGTTTTCCAAATCTCTAGTAACCGGTATACTTTCCTTTATTTTTTGTTTATATTCGTCTTTTGATTGCTTAAGTTTTTTCCATATCTAGTTTCGATACATTTTCTATTTTCTTTTTTGTTTCGAATTGGCTATTAATCCTGAGTTTGGCTCTTACAAGTCTATGATCGCTACCGGTTGAGAAGCGGTTCAGTACTGTAACATCTTTAATGATGGTTTTTTCTGTTGTAAGGATGTAATCTATTTCGTTTTTTGTATTACCGTTGGGACTTATCCATGTCCATTTTCTTTGCGGTTTTTTGTTAAAAAACGAGTCCATAACAAAAAGTTGTCTCTCCTCCAAGTAGTTCATTAATGTGTGTCTTCTATTATTTCTTTCGCCATATCCATACTTTCCAATTCTGTGTTCTTCTTCATCTATTCTTCCCCCTAATTTGGCATTGAAGTCTCCAATTATTAGCGTCAATTTAGTTTTCTTTTCTTCCATAGCGAGTGTTAGTTCTTCGTAGAAGTTTTCAATATCTTCATCTGTATAGTGAATTGTTGGCGCGGTATACCTGTATAATTTTCAAAGACGTTCTTTTTAATTTAAGTATAATGTAGGCTACTCTGTCTGTATATACCCTTGGTGGATTGTATGTATCTGACGACTTTCTTGTTTATTAAAAAACCAACTCCGTTGTTAGAGTTATCTTCATTGCCTTTGTAGTACAGCATATTTCTTGAGTTTAATAGTATTTTTTGTTCACCTTTTCTTCTTATCTCTGACAGACCAATGACATCCCATTGTATATTTTTCAGTTCTTCTTCTAATTTGTGAAGTTTAGTATCATCATTCATGGATCTGATGTTATATGTTTCTATGTTTAGTTTAGTCGAATGTTTTGCCTCGCCCAGAATCCTTGAGGCAGACCAGTTTGTCGGTGTGGGACTTCAGAGATGTTATCTCTACTACCCTGGGGTAATTTTCCCGTTTGTTTTGTGATTCGACATGTTTGTTGAAGAGGGTTTTTTTTGACATTTAAATGCCACTCTTGTCAGGCGGGTTGGCGAGTGAGGAAACTTAGGAGTGTGGGAATGGGGAAAGGCGCAAGTTACGCAGTTTTGTGTGTAGGGTGCGCGGCTGCCACACACACCCCCCCGCATAAAAATGGGCCTCTTCTCCACTCAAACACGGTCAAGAGGACTTATTCAACACTCGAGGTGTGGTTGAGATAGGTTTCTAGGTAAATAGATGGGTAAAGAACGATGATGGAATGTTGGGTTAGGGATAGCGGTCCAGCTGCTCCTGAAATCGCCTCTTGACGACCAGTAGGAGATCCCTGTGGGTGTATTCTTCTTAGTGGCCCGCATCCCACACGGGACAGATTTCTATTAAAGAAATCAAAATCCAGATTTTTGCTATAATCTGTGCCTTCTCAGAATTGCAAGGCAAAACAAACGTTGCTACAGATGTAAAGAGAGAATATGGGGAATTTAAAATTGCATATTTTCTCAACATATCTAGAACATATCTCCTTAACTAAGCAAAAAGCCTTGGCAACTTGGTTTCTTATACTCAGAAAGAGTATATCGAAATAAAAAAAAGACGATAAGATTTGATTTCACGTATAGTGGCTTTTTATATTTGTTTATACGTTTTTATCCTTATAGCACTTATTAGAACGACTTTTACAGAAGCTCTGAATGTGAAAACAAGCTTTCCTCTTGATTAGAAAGCAAGTTTTTTCTCTAGTAACTGAATATTATTCCTGTTAACATATACAATAGTAAGTTATCGAAAACGTTAGATAATTTATTGCCCATCTTTCACATTGTGTTACTGCTAAAGGTCGTTAATTTGAACATTTGGTGCAATTTAATTGTATTTAAGTAAACATTAATTGAATCACGCATTTCAGAAACCACAAAAATTACAAATTTATGAAATTACAGTTTTCTGTAATTTTTGGTAGTATGTAGGTATACGCACTTAACAGTAAACAGAAACCCCAAAACTCACTAAATTTACATACATTTGTTGCCAGTTGGCCGTGTGGATATTGTCTGTCGCCCATCGGACGCATCCCCATGTGGTGGATTGGGGAACGCCCTAACCAGTCCTAGGACTGGCGGTTAGGTGGGAAACAAAGTACCACCCGTGAACCAAAACAGACAGATTCCCTGGCCCTCCAGGTTGGGTTTTAGGTTAGAGTGTTAGAGGCTAATAACCTCTTTCCGTAAAAATTATATGTTATGAAACCTCAAGAACTATCAGTCGGACGAAACTTACGACGACGACGACTCTGCAAAAGAAAAATGGAATTAAGATTAGGAACATGGAACACCCTAACCCTGTAACGAGCTGGAGCACTCGTATCTCTACTAGACATAGTGAACATGTGCAAAGTAGATGTTTTGGCACTGCAGGAAATGCGATGGACGGAAACAGGCATTCTTGACAAAAGAACCCCACTCCCTATATTACAGATGCAATGAAAACCAACACATAGAAGGCCTAGTTATTGATTTTAAAGCCTACAGTCAAAGAATGCGCTATTTATGCTTAAAAGGTGAATTATTTAATTACAGTTTAAATAATGCGCATGCCCCGACCGACAACAAACTAAAAGACATTAAAGAACAGTTTTTCAAAGACCTAGAACAAGCCTACGGAAGATGCCGTCATAAATGACATCAAGATAGTGCTAGGTGACATGAAGGCAAGAATAGGATGAGAGAGAGTCTTTATGTCGACTGTAGGAAGGCATAGCCTACACAACATCAGTAGCGTTAATGGATTACGACTAATAAACTTAGCAACAGCAGTTAACATGACCGTCGGTAGCACCTATTTTTGAACACAAGACTATACACAAGGTAAGCTGGACCTCCCCTGATGGAAGAACAACTAATCAGATTGATCACATCTTAATAGATTCAAGACACGGAACGGACATAATGAACTGCAGAAGTTATAGAGTCGCAAACATAGACCACTGTTTAATAAGCTCAACACTAAGGGCTAGAATTTCAAATTACAACAAAGAAAACAAGTAAATAGAAAGAAATGGAATGTACAGAAGTTAAGAGATGCAACTGTTACAAAACAGTACTGGGAAAATATTACCAATAAGTTAACGAGTCAAAGTTTAAGCGAAGAATACCAGAGAGGTATGGACACCTACTAGAATAGGATAAAGAAGGATATTAAATCAGCAGCACAATATGAGATGGGAACAGAAACTTGTACCCGAAAAAGTCACTGGTTTGACGACGAATGCAAAGACGCAACAAAAAAAAATGAAGCCTATGCAAAAATGCTTACCCAGCGAACTAGAACAAGTGTAGAGAATTGCCAGACAAAGAGAAGAAAAGAAAAGAAAATCGTTATTTTCGGAAATTTCTATAAAATCTGCAAAACAATGTATAGAAATTCGACTGTGGATTAGCGATCCGCAAATAAATCAATTTTTTCGTTAATTTTCAAAGAGGTAAATGTACGAATCAGGTGGTGTTCCTAAACAAATAGCCGAATATCTAAAGTTACCAAATCCCAAAGTGTACACAGGTCACTGTTTATGACGAACTTCTGCACTATTTTGGTAGATGCCGGTGGTGATTTATTGGCTCTTAAACGACATGACAGAAGGAAATCTTTAACAACGGCGGAAGAATAAATGTCGATGAGTCAATAAATAATAAGACGTCAACAGCCAATATAATTATAATTTTAATTGAAAGTAATTTAAAGACCTTTACATACACTGAAAATACCAATGTTCAAAAGAATTTATGTCATCTCACCATTCACCACGTATTATTGTACAACTAGCAAACTCGGATAAGATTATGGTTGTAAATAATTGCCAAAATTTAAAAATTAATTTAACAATAATAAATGTTTAATTTAAATTGTACCCGAATTTTGTTAAAAAAATCAAAGTTACTTGTTATACTTTTTATTTTTAACACGTTAAACGCCATGAGAAGCAAGTGTGCATCTCAGTCACTGAACTTACTGACGCCATGAGAAGCACCTTTGCATCTCATACCCAGAGTGTATTTCAGGCTACGTGGTACATCCATGCTTCACAGTACCCATTAATTTATTTGGAATATAGTTTCTCAGTGGCCTGATGAACTCTTTTATATGTTTAGCCTGCATTTTTAGGATACTAGTGTCTAGCAATAAAACAATATGTTTTTATGTAGCTTGAAACTAAATTGTTTTTATATATAACGTAAACAACTGTTTTTTAATGCAAAAGATCAGCAAATGTTCCTTAAACATTGGCACTACATGTTTCTAGTTAAGAAATAAATGAAAAATATAATATTTGCGTATATATGTACAAATTTCTATAGATTACATGAATGAACCTCGCAAAAACATGTGATACAATAAAATTTTTACCATTATCTGCTGGATTTTTTGTATAACATGTGACACATCTTCTTCTGGCCGAACTTTGCACTTCGTCCATAAAGTTACCTTCTCGAGCATGTGGCATATGTTGCTCTGGATTAGTTAGTGAAGTGAAATCTACAAGTTGACAAACCAATTCTTCCTTGAAAGACGTGATGGACACGTTAGTGTTGGTTATTTTTTTTATAAATTATATAGGCGTTGATAATAGCTGACCCTTAGAAGGAGCTTAATTGTCATTTTACGATACCATTTCACTGTCTAATTTAAATTTTTTATCACGAACACTGTCAGCACTCTCTTCGTCTGAAAAAAACTCTTCCACTAGCTTATACAAACGCTTTTGCTTCTTTTCATATGACTATTTGAGAACTGATAATACACACTACAACCTCGCCTACCGACAACTAACTAATTAAATAACTAACACGTAGTGCATTTGTCTAGCGAATGTAACATAAAATAAACAAGGTATTACAAGTTTATTCTTGTCTTATACGAGAAGCAAGTGTGCTTCACCTGGCTCCAGGAATCCAAATGTTATTTGTGGCCATGAGATGCACATGTGATTCTCACTTAAAATAATTCTAAAAAGCAATAAAAATGTAAGATTTTGTACGAAAACTAAAGCATAACTATTAAAAATGTATAGACTAATACTTTAAATGTGTTTAATATTTTGGCCCACATAACTTTTTTTATTATACATTGTGGCGTTTAAAACGTTAAAAATGAAAAGAATCGTAGAAAAATTATTATAGTACACAACTTGAGTTATAAGCTTATTACATCCTTGTATAAATATTCTTCTTTTTCATCCTTTTCAGCCTTTTCATTGTGCATCTTTTCTACTTGCATGTAATAAGCTTCGTACAACTCTCGTTATGTAACATACTATTAAAGGGACAAGAACAAATTTAAAAAATAGCCATAGATAATATTGACCACATTAAAAGACATAACTAAAAGCAAAAAACATTATAAAATATAAACACAAGAAATAAATCATAGCAGTAGAATACCTATTTACTTAATATTTTTGTTTAATACTTACCTAAAGTTGCTTTTGTTTTTTGAGTACATACATTTGTAACGACCTTTACAGCAGCTTGCATTTGTTTCTCATTTAACTAAAAATATTGATTTTTTAAATTGAACCTATTTTACGCAATACTCGTTTCCAACTTACCGCTGTAACCATAATAATGAAGCACGCTACTATAACCCACACACATTTCATTTTACACATTTTTATCAATGAGTTACAAAAATTTATAAAGAATGAATGAATATCTTCAATCGAGGTTTCTTTAACTATTTTTCAGTCTAGGTAAACGCCCCAAAGACGCATCGGTAACTATTAATTGTTAATGACTGTGTACTTAATTAACAAATTGTAAAGGAAGATCAGCATATTATTAAGTTTGTAAACAATAATATAGGGTAATTATTTTGATAATTACTGCTTAATAACGAAAATTAAAAGATTTTAATTATCACCAAGAGTTTGTAAGTAATAACAGTGGAAATACGTATTTCAATGATTCTTTATGTAACTAATTTATTAAAGGTTTTTGTGTTGTATATTTATTTTCAATAAAGTATAGTGGTTTTATTTCTCAATTGCCTTTCTTTTTAAAAGATTTTTCTCTGCTTAAAACTTAAATAACTGTATTTTTCGTTGTTTCATATTTATTGTTTGTTTTTCTTTTAAATATTATTTATTAAGATAGGTAATCATGACATTTGAATAGCTTAGCAATTTTTAAAAATGCAGATCTTGCTTTCTCTATTCAATATTTTATTTTTAGGGTATGGTCCAAATTTTCATTGACTTTCGTACCAAGGTAGTTGTATGTTTTTACTCTTTCTATTGGTTGACCATTCAAACTAAAGTTGTCCAATAATATTAAGTAAGTATGTCCAATAACTAATTCTGGCTGGGTGCTTACCGTATTAGTCCTGTTTTAAGTTTTCAGGTTATCCTAGATGAATCTCCCCTATCAATACGAAGACAACACATTTCTTTAAATTATGCCGCGAGATTGTCTTCCAACCCTAATAACACAAACTATCCACTTCTTTATAAAATATATCCACCTACTGATTGCCATCAACAAATTAAATATCCACCACCTTAAAGATCATCTAACGAGATATGGTTTTGACATGGAGCAGCTGACATATTCTTACCCTACACAACGCACTATACCTCCTTGGACTATTAATTTTCCCATCATTGATCTATTCCTCACGGCCTATCCAAAGAGTACCATAAATACCATAATCAATTTACAAATTAACAAATTATATCAAGAACGGATATTAGAATTCATTGGTCATAACAAGATTTTTACTGATGCGTCAAGAACTGAAAACGGACACGCAGCGGCCTTTATTCTAGGAAAGTCTGAATATGCAGTTCGCATCCATCAATTCTGCAGCATTTTCACTGGAGAAGCAACCGCCATTTTAAAGGCTTTAGACATGTGTAAGAGTCATGCAAGCTCAGATTTTCTTATCATTACTGACTCTTTATCTGTTCTTCAGAGCTTAAGGTAAATATATCAAGTACATGATATCCTGCAACAAATACAATTAGCACTTTATCACCTACAAAACAGACACGTGAACGTTACATTTCTCTGGGTACCATCACATACAGGTATCGCAGGAAATTAAAAAGTTGATGAATTAGCAAAGAAAGCTGCTACTGACGAGCAAACTGAAATTATGACTACAATTCCATTCAGTGATATCCAGCTCAATATTAAACAGCACTGTGTAAACAATTGGCAACAAATGTGGAATTCTAATAAGGCTAACCTTAAAAACGTAAAAACTAGGATTGGCACTAAACTACAATTTCCAGAAAACAGAAGGCAACAAGTGATTATAAATCGACTAAGAATTGGACATACAGCGTTAACTCACCAGCATCTCATAACAAAAGAACTACCACCTGAATGTTCCTATTGTGAATGTCCAATAACTGTCCAACATGTACTGATTAAATGTCCTCTTTATTCCTACGAAAGAGCCATCAACAACGTACCAGAAGAAGCAAACAAACTTAAAGATATTTAAACAGTAATATATCAAATACACTCAAATTCATTAAGGACATACGTTTACTACACAAAATTTAAGTTATATTATATGTATCATTTTGTAATTTGTAATTTATTAATTGTAATTTATTATTTGTAATTTAATACACACTTTGTAATTAGTATATTTAATAACAACTGTAAAATCTGTTAAATCCGCTAATAACCTTTAATGGTTGATGCGGAAATTCTAAATAAAAAAAAATGTACTTTTTTGATCTCCAAAATTTAAATTTGAAATTGAAATGTGAAACAAAAGCTGTAATTTTAATTTAAAGTTTAGTAATACTAATTAATATTGAAAAAAATGAACTGGCCTTTACAATGTGCCTCAATAATTTGAAGCTTAAATCAATAAGTTACCGTAATGCACTATTGAACTATTGACGGAACATGTAGAGAAAATACTGCCCTTAGGCACGAAGTAGCAATTGCCCTTACTCCTACCCGCACACATATTCCGAAAACGGCGTTATAATTCTCTCCCGCAAATCGTCCAGTAGCACTAGCCATTGTCCGGGGAAATGTCCCGTTATCTATTATGTATTAGAGTCACGGTGCTTTCAAGATGTTTTACATCCCTATGTAGCACGGTCAACACCCTGGAGTACGTATTTGTCAAAGTCAATAATAGACTCTCCAAGTCTTGTTATCTCTTGTGTAATGGAACCGATATTGGAATTTTCATTATTAACATATAAACGAACATTTGCTTACGGGATCTGAATAACAAAGGGATAAAACGTGGACTTGAAACAGGTTTGCATCAAAGTAAATAATAGTTGTAATTATAACTTTAGTTACAATTATCACAATTGAATAAAATAATTATGGGACAATTCGTCTGTTCTATAATAAATATATCATTTATATTAAAATTGCTATTTGTATTTTTTTTGGCTTTGGTCATAAGTCATTGGGCTATGTTATAGATTAATAATTAAACAACAAAAAACTAAAGTGGTGCCGCCGAACAGATAGAGGGCCGCGTGATCACTGAGTGTCGGAGCAGGGTTGCCAGATGATTTTTTTTAATTTCCTAAAATTTTTGCCAAAATTTCCCTAGATTTCCCTGACAGCTTGACAACTATATTTAGTCTAGAATCCTAGAATAGACTACCTAAGTCTGACGTCAGAATGAGCGGGGATTTTAAAAACTTTTCCAAACATTTCTAATTTGTGTGTATTTGTCACATAAGAAGTTGGAAAATATTGGTTTTTTTATTTGTTTAAAGAATAAATAAGGACTTTTGGTTATGAACGTTTATTCTGTATAATTAGTATTATTTGTTTTTCGTGAATTTGTAAGGTAATAATATCAAAGTAATAAGATATTTTAGGACAGGTGGATCCCCGTCGGAATTCACCAATCGTGAAATACCATCACTCTAGTCACCGACCGGTAATTACATGATTAGTTAAAGAAAGAGAAACTAGAAACCAAAAATCGCCCGAAGCCAAGATAAACTTTTGCTCAGGTGGATACCCGAACAGAATTCAGTGATTACTCGAATAATACGATTTCCAAGCAGATGATATATGTACATTTATGGAAAGTTTATTAAATCCAAATTATCAAATAAAAAAATGTAAAAGACCATGTATACCAACAATATTTAAGCTCCAAATCATGAAAACACAAAATAAAATATAAATAAAAAGAAGCAGAAGTACGAAGGAAATCTCTAAGAAGAAGAACGAGTCGTGAGAAAGAAATTGCCAACGAATAAATACTTATCTAGGAGGAACCAGAAGTACAGAAAGCTGGAAACTGATAAAAAATTGAGAAAAGAAAAAAAAAGTAATACAGAGCATAAAACCTGAAGACTGGGAAGAGTATTTCAAAGAACTTTTGGTACCTAGACAATAGAGCCGAATTTCAAAAATATAGAAATCAAAACCAAGATAGAATTTCAATAGTCGGCTCGCTAATAAGATTAACAACAGAGAAAATTAAAAATGTATGTACACAGCTGAAGAGGAACAAAGCTCCCGGACCAGGAGATATACCCGGAGAATTGTTTAAGTACGGAATGAAGGAATTGTACAAATGTCTTCGAAAACTATTTCAAAAATGCATAAACACAAGCGAAATCCCTGAGGAATAGAAGATATCATACCTTAGTACTATACATAAAAAGGGCGATAACAATAACGGTAAACATTACCGAGGAATAGCTGTAACCGGATCTATAAGTCGAATAGATGGAAAGGTTTTAAAGAACCGAATTGAGAGGGAATACTTAGATTATGAAGCAGAAGAACTAGCAGGATTTTGTACAGGTCCACTATTGATAATATTTTCTCCTTAACCCAGATAATAGAAAAAAAGATAGCACGGAATCTTCAGTGGAACGCTGTCGTAGGAAAGCCTACGACAGCGTTCCACTGAAGAACTGTGGCAATCAATGGAAAGCACGAATATTAATATAGAATTAATAAAAGCTGTCAAAGTGCTATACAACCAACCAATATCAAAAATAAAAGCAGGGATACAAGTAACAGGATTTTTAACATCAAAAGGATTAAAGCAAGCGTGTTGTCTGTCCCCCACTTTATTTAAAATAGGTATACCTCAAAGGTGCTTTAAAAAAATTGGAAACAAAAATGCAGGACAATGGGGATACCGTTCACCAACACTATGGTATATACACTCAACTTTGCAGATGATCAAGTAATAACGGCTCAGGATTATGACGATTTAAATTATATTTCGCGAAAATAATTGAAGAGTATGATATATGGGGTCTAGAAGTAAATAAAAAACAAACCGAATACCCGTGCGTTGGATAAGAACAAAAAGATCTCATATTAGACGATAACACCACGATAAAGCATTGCTGTGACTACAAATATCTAAGGTATTCCTATTTCACAAGATGTAATATTAGACAAAGCCATAAGAGAGAGCAATACGTCAGGAAGAAAAGCCATCACAATGGTAAACACCATTTTATGGGACCAATCCATCAGCAAAGAAAATAAAAAGAGAATATATGAGACTATAGTAAAAAGTATCACTTTAAACAGCTGTGAGGTATGGCCACTGAAAGAAAGAACACTGGCAACGCTGAAAGCGACGGAACTTGATTTTTGGAGAAGAGCTGCAGGAAGATCTAGAAGAAAAAGGATTACCAATGAACGCATTAGAGAAATAATGGGAATCAAACGAACAATCAC